TGTGTTTTTAAGCCAATTGGCTTAAAAACACATCCCAGATGCGTTTCTGGTCTCAAAAGGCGTTTTTGGTCCCTACCTGTTGTTTTGCTGCTTAAAAATGCTGCAGGATTTCTCAAACATGCATGAATGAATCAGAGCAAGGCTTTGGGCATGTTTTTTTAGAGAGTATAACATTATAACATGATATAAAACTCAAAAAAGTTGATATTACATGATGTTGCCCCTTTAAGTCAGATTCAGAAAAAAAAGCATATTTTTAGATCCTGGCTTCTTAACCTACTATTTGATGATCTGATCATCATTAAAAATGAGGGGCTCTAGAGCTTAATGTGTCTTTCTATTCAGGATGACCATTGGAAAATTGGACTGAATCCTAGTTTCAGTGTCTCTAATGAGGATTTCTTGATGCCATTTGAAAGAGGAAACTTCAAACCATATTTGGATATTGGGATTTCCCCGATGGCATTGAAAATAGCTTGGCTGGCGGCAGGGATAGTAGTGACAATTTTGGTATTTTCTGCTCAAGTCAAGTCAAATTTGTTTATAAAGCACATTAAAAATTGCAGGTTGTAACCAACATGTTGAACAATAAAAAGGTAAAAGTTTAAATAAATTAATTTTAAGCATCTGAAAACAATAAACAAAGAGCAGAGAACAATAAAAGACTAAAATAACTCACTTGATTAAAAGTCAGTGAGAACAGATGTGTTTTTAAGAGAGATTTAAAAACAGGAAGTGATGAGGCCTGTCTAATGTTGGAGAGCAGATTGTTAGTTGTTGGGCCTGCTCTCAAAATTTCTCCAAAATATTGTTACAGATTATATTTTAGACATTTCCTTCAAGGAACCCAAAGATAAGATTTTTATTTACAGTAAAAGCCTGTATAATGAAAGAATTTTTTTCTCATTTTCTAGCCTTGTGATAGTCCTACTTATTACCCTAATATGACCTCAAGTCTTATTCAAATCACTACTATAAACCCAAGGTCTAATCCTTAAATAAACTCGACATAGTAAAGACACTCACTCTCTAGAGGATTTTTCTAATGCTCTTGTGGGACACTTGGTTAATAAAGACCACAGAAACACACACACACACAGAGGAACACTGACTATTGAACCTCAGGTTTTTTTTTTTGACACTTGACTTTGAAGCCACAGAAATAGTTTATCATCACAGGTGTAACTGAGAATGAGTCATACAAATGATCACTGTGGTGAAAGGAGCCTACAGGTAATCCAGCTATAAATGGCACAATAAAACACTTAGGGATTTTTTTCCCCCTTTGTCTCCTTCTATAATCTGTCTCCTGCTCTCCTACACTTTCACTCACTCTGCAAATCTTCCATTTTCAGTAAACTGCCACAATGGCTCAAAAATTTTGTGCCACCATTCTTTTACGTGACAGAAAAGGCCTGGAACTTCTACCCATACACCATCACAGGTGTGTGATTTTAATTTTGGTAAAACATAAATATCGAAAAGCACTATTTTACAAGTGTCCTTTAATATTTATTGACTGTGTGTGAGTTGAATTGTTGGTGACTTGTGTTGAGTGTGTGGCTGCGATTTCATGCTCTTGCAATTGTAACAAATAAGTAACAAATGCTGTTTCTCCCTTTCCATATTGCATGTCCCTGATGTTGCAGAGTACTCCGTAAGTATTCTCACACATCATTTACTTTGCACGAATGCAACAGAGCTCATCTCTTTCCAGCATCAGTGGATTTAATCTGCAGTCTGACTTGGCTCTCTGTATTTCTGCTTTTTTCTCTCTTTTATTTAATTTTTTTACCTCCTGTCACTCTGCAGATATCGTTCTTACCACGGTTCAGCATTCGCATTGAGACGAGGTTCGAAAACAACAATGGCAGTAACAACAACGTGAGTGTGGGCCTAAGTGAGAGGAAGCAAGAGGTGAAAAAGATAGAGTGATTAAAGAAGAGAGAGGTGGGGAGCAGGAGAGAAATACAAAGGGGCAAGAGAGGAATTGCAATTTTCTCTGCAGAGCCACAAAAAATGTTCATTAAACTGATGTGGCCATTACAAGGAAAACAAGCAAAGCACAATATGCACTATTGGCAGATCTATTAACCAGATGTGCAGGGTGCTGATCATTTCTGCCATGCTGCATTCTGTGCACAGCCAATGCACATAAACACACTCAGACATTCACAAGCACATCCATCGGCTCCCTGTTTCTAATAAACGTTGTAATCGAGGAAAGTCGAGAAACAAGACCCAACATGTCAGAATTCACACGGTCCTGTGAGCTGAGAGAAACGCTGATAAATCTGTTTTGTGTCATTGCAGGTGTGCGCTCATTTCACTATTTGCACATTTGTAATTTCAGGTCAATGGAGGCAAATTATAAAAATAACACCGACATGTAAACCTTTTTGATGCCTGTACAAATCCTCTTACTAATATCGACATCCAGCTGGTCAAAAATTGCTGTAATTCCATAAAATGAAGTTTCAGACTACCTGAAAATTATACGTCCAGAATTTAATGTGTTTCAGTTATGTGTCTAAGGGAAATGTTTGCTGTTTTACTTGTTATAGCTGAATGACATGCATATACATGCTCTCTCACTGAATAAACTGTTCACAAACCAGGAACATTTAAAAGAACTCCACAAGTTTACACTGCAGAAACTCAAATTACAATTACACTCCTGGGATTTTTTGTTTGTTTTTGTTTCTTGAAAATTAGTGCAGGGGTGGTAGCATTTCCCTAAAGTTAACAAACATTGTGATGACACTTGCAGCTGAATTTCCCACTTAGCGCAAGACACATTTTCAGCTTTCAGCCTAGTGATAGTCATCATTTAATGCTGAATGTTTCCAGCTAAATTTAGACCACATTTAGATCAGGCAGTTTCATACACATTACTTAATTTATATAAACACACAAACAAGTGGAAACATAAAAGAAGCTCAGCTCAGATTTGGAAATTATACAAAAAATGTCAAAAAGCACAAATCGAGATTACAGCGCACAATGAAGAGATTGACTTGTCCATTTTTTTAAATTCATTAAATTAATTCAATGAAATGAATTAATTCAATGAATTCAATGAATTTAATTCATGAAACATTACAGTTTCGACATCAACATGTTGAAAAACGAAAAATCGTGATTAATATGAAGTAGGTTTGGGGAATACTAACATAAAAATTTATCATAACTAACTGTGGCATTTACCCCATAACAATTAATAAAGTTAACAGATGATTTAAACGTGGCCAACGTTGTGGATTTGGTCCGCATTTTCTGTCTTTCCTTGTACTTAGGGTTAACGTTGGCTGCTCCATGCCACCTTCAACCACTGGGCTCACATACGAGCCTGACAGTGACAGTTTGTCGCACACAAAAATACATAATCACATGGCTCTAACTGCAGTAATTGCAAACTGGAAAATATTAATTGTTGCCAGTTTTACTGACGATTAATTGCACGATACAATCATACCCAGCCCAAATATGAAGACAAATTTAGACACTGATGTTTTACTAGCAGGCAGGAAAAACTCTTTTCATAGTTGGTAACAGTAACAATAAACCTTGCCCATTTTTCTTTGAATTTTTATGTAACCAGCTTGTTTTTAAATCCCACTGAGACCAATGTCTTCTAAGGATGGCCTGACTGAGAAGTCAGTCGCATACATCATAAACAGTGATCCAAAACAAGTGACAATATAGGATATTGTGCACTTATAACAAAATACCTCATAAAGGAACACCTAAACGTACATGTGTAAGAGAAAATCGGTACTCTTTGGCATGAATTTCTTATTATTTTAAAATGAAACACAGAGAGATTGCAGAAAATCATAACTGTAGAACGACTTGTCTGTCTGGCTGTTTTACTCACCAGGATGCAAAAAGCACAAGCAATGCAACAATTAAGAGCTTTAACCTTCAGTTGGGTAGTTTTTATTTATTCAGTTCAATTCAGTTTTTTTAGTGCTAAGTCACAACATATGTCATCTCAGGGCACTGTACACAAAAAAACAATCTAGGGAAGCCAGCAGATTGTGTTAAATCACTTCATCACAGTCTCACATCCTGAGCAGCACATTGGCAACAGTGGAAAGGAAAAACTCCCTCATTAAAGCCAGTCTCTGCGACATGCAGATACTGTATCTATGTGATGTCTAAATCCAGTTTCTATATCTGCAAAACTTTAAATTTTACATCAAGTTAAGCCGTTTTAAACACACTGCATACAGAAAGGACTTTTTTGTTGCAAGGCAACAGTGCTAACCAACTGTGCTGTTATCCATGTAAAAACAATAATTACATCTAGATTTTGATTTTACTTGAATTGCTCGGAAACCTTTTCAATGCGTGACTCAACTGAATCTCAGACCTGAACAACAGGTTTTTTCTAAGCCACTGAAAACCTATAGGTGAGAGTTTTATACCCAGAACACACAGTCGAAGGCAGCACAACCCCTGCAGCTAATGCAACAAATGAAGAAGCAGGACCTTGGTTTAGACACAACAACAGAGTAACAGAGCGCAGCTACCTTATTTGTTAGTTGGGTACTGTGAAACAAACAATGTCAGTATGGCATTAGAACAAATTTTGTACAAGGTCAGGTAAAAGTGCCGTTTTCTTTGTGCTTCTTTTCATCCATTTTCACTCCATACTCTTGAGGGAAAAGTCACAGCACCTCTTTTTTTCCATCTATTTAATATCCCTCTTACGTTTGTGTTTTTTACCCTCATCCCCTCTTTTCTATCTGCTCTCTCATCTGTTTGCTCCAGTGTGATTTCCTCTTAGGGCCTCAGGGTGGGATATACAGTAGTGAGGGGGTGTTATGGTGTGTGACCTCAGTTTTCTACACAGTTACTTATCTACTCTTGCCCTGCTCTCTGCTGAGTGAAGAATCCATGTGTGTATGGGTTGGTGAGTGTTTGTGAGGCGGCTGTCATTACGCTGAATAACACACACACACACCCACCCCCACCTGTTTTGGTCGTAGGTATTTGGGGACACGCCAACTCCAGCTGAAGATGTCAGTTTCCTGGACATCCTTAGTGACCCCATCCCAGAAAAGCACAAAACGGAATCGGAGGTATGTGCTACACTAATAAGACGCATAAAAGCAACATATAAAAACACACCGCTGTGTGAGGAAAATGTGTATGATTGCAGTAAAGCAACAGCTCTGCTCCTTTCAACTCTGGGTCTGTGGAACAATTGGGAATAAATGGTTGTTTGGACAGTCTTGAAGTTGGCTCTGTAATAAATTATTTCTCCAAATTGAGGTCAATCAAAGAGCTATGTACGTATAACAGGCAAGACATTAATTGTTCATCTTCAATCCAACCAAATGATTTGAATATTCGAGCTGCACGATATGTCATTTGCACATAGCCATCACAAAGTATGTGTGTGCTATAGTCACATTGCATTTCCTGCGATGTAGGAGGCAAATTAAATCAACAAGGGATGAAACAACTAAACCACTGCACTTAATAGGTACATGTTGCTGCTTTTACTTTGACGGGTCTCCACCAGCGGAAGTGGGCAGCTTTGTGTCAAAAAAGCTCAATCTTTAATTTTCTTGTGATAAGTCTGGGACTATAATGGCAAAATTTTTCACAGAAGTGTTGTCAGTGACTTTATGCGCTGTGGAGGAAGAAGACTAGGACAAAAATGAAGAAGATGAGCAAATTTGAAGAGAACTGGAGGAAAAGGGGTAAAAATATTAAGGCGTGACAGAAACAGAGACTTTAGGCAACACAGAGACAACACATTAGGTGGTAAAACGCAATTCATGCTTGTGCATGATAAGGAAACATGAACTCAGGTTCCAGAACAAAAAGCAATAAAAGAAAACCAGAATAATTCTCAAATACAGACAAAAACATTCTTCTAACATAAAGCAGTAAGACTTTAGCAGGTTCATCCTCAAGAAGACGGCAGCATAATTTAAAGTGTTATTCAAGTCATCTGTTGAAAATCCCTGTATTTTTTCACTTCCCAATGTATATCAAATGTTGAGAAAAATTGTGATGTCATTTCTTTCCAGTATCATGCAGCCCTACTGAATACTGCTTTAAAAATATTTCAGCATTTTTACAAAAAATGCTCTAAGTTTGTTCAAAAGCACTCATTAATGCCTGTAATACTCTCCTCCACAAACTGTTACACATATTATTTTGTCACATAAATAGAAATGTAAACAGAGCAGCTCCTGTTTTTATGAGGAGTTTTATCATTTATGCCAGTAAATATGAGACTAATTGGTTCTAGCTTGATATAAAAAAAGATTAATAATAATAATCTGGATCCCCAATGTTATGTCTTTACTCCAGGTCAATAAAATCACTCCTTACTCAGCACACAGACATTAAACACTTCTTTAAAGGTTTATAGTCTATAAGTATGTGGACACACAAATTATAATCCACCACACCAAATCCTTAATGGCTTTAGGTTTTTACCCCCACTGAACAGAAAACACGACTCAGCCTCTTTTTCCCTTTTTCGTTCTGTCTCATCCAAGATTTCACACTTCTTTAGTGCCTGCAAGCCCTTAGCAACAAAGGTGAATTCACAGGTTTGTGTGCAAAAAGAAAAAAAAGGATGCACACAAGCACTTAGTGAGGATGGCTACAAGCACACACGCATGCACTTACAAACAAAAAAACATCTAAAATACACCTGTCATTTATTGAAAACATAAAATCCCAAACATCCTTTGGTTATAGATGCATAATGTGTGCAATTACATACATTCCTCCTCGGGGTCTGTTGAGCAACAACCTGCTGACACCTCCACATGAACGTCAAAACACTCATCCTCACATAAAGACAAGCTCGCGGCACATGCACAAACATCTATAGTTCCCTCAGAACACATCTCACAGAGCTACAGTTTCTGCAGAGTCAACTTATAACCCCTCACTTTTTTGTTCTGTTTAGGACCTGAGTCGCTGGCGGTCAAGTAAAACCAACCGAGGGCCTCTGAAGGAGGGCTGGAGAGACCACCACAACCCCATCATGTGCTCCTATAAGAGAGTGCAGTGCAGCTTCGAGGTCTTCGGCTTCCAGACAAAAGTGGAGGCGCTCGCACACGAAGTGAGTCGACTTTTCCTTTCACCTTTGTGTTGATGTTTAATCGCTAGTTTGAGGACAAAATGACAATTCTCATTTGATGCAGATTGTTTTTAATGACTCCAGTTTGCCTTTTGTGGCATGCTGACACAAATAAATCACCACCACATTAATTTCCAGACATTAACTTAATTACAAACACGGTGAGGGCGGTGAGTCTCTAATGACCTCTGCACTGCGTCTCAGGGCGTTCGTTGTTTCACTTCTTAGAAAAGCATAATTTCTCACATACGAAACCTGCAGTGAAGCATGAACAAGAAAATCCCCACGTGTTTGGATTGTAACTCTTATTTAGATAAAGCCTGGTCCTACTGTTGATAGACATATCCAATTATATCAAATCAATTTCACAAATTTTGACTCTAATGGCCAAATTGTTAAAATGTAGCATTTCACTCACAGCAGCAGTGTGGTTTTAATCACATCTTGACATGTTCTTGTTTCATTTCTAATCTCAGAAGATCAAAGAAATTCTTCTGGTCGCCCACAGGCAGGCGGTGGCATGGCTTGATGAGTGGCACGGTGGGTCAAAAGTAGCACCATTTTGGATTCTACAAAACAGATTTGAGAACATAAAAAATGTCCAAAATACGTCTTTAGCTACTATTTGTGTTCTGTGAAATGAAGCCTGTATTTTCCACTCTGTTTGATGTGTTCTGCATGTGTCTGCCTGTACTCCTGCTTTCCCCACAGGGCTAAGCTTGGAGGAGGTGAGAGACTATGAGGAAAAAATGCAAGAGAAGACCAATAGCAAAGTCAAATCCACCCAGATTGACGCAGGTGAGGCTGCAGCTCCTGACCCGCACTGTACTGAAATACTTCAGAGGATAGGAGGAGAGATAGCACAGCTGCATGGGTGAGCGGTGCAGGCGAAGATGGAGAGAGGTGGTGGAGGTGAAGGCAGCGGCGGCAATGAGGCGTAGATAAAAAGAGCAGCAGGTCTGAAATGTATATTTGTGCCCCACTAATTATCCCTACATTTGAGTTCAGCATAAAAAAGCAGGAGGGGTGGGGTGGGGGGTAGAGAAGTAAAAACAAACAGAAATTCACACATTTTGCCTCATTTATAAGAAACTTGCACAAGTGTGTTGTGTTCATATACTGTTGCTTGGCACGTTTTTATTAGAGTAAAAAGAAAAGAGAAAGACAAACAGTCTAAATTAATAGCTGCGTGATGCAGACACACCTAAAGAGAGCAGGTTGGACCATTAGTGCATTCACCGTGACCTACAAGTACCCAGATGGTTGGAGAACATCTGTGGGAGAAAAATGCAAAAGGGAAGAAGCATTTGACGACACAAGGAGCAGTGAGGAGGGACAAAAAAGGGGGATGCACCCAGAAAAAGACAACAGAAAGACAAATGTGTGTGTGTGTGTGTGTGTGTGTGTGTGTGTGTGTGTGTGTGTGTGTGNGTGTGTGTGTGTGTGTGTGTGTGTGTGTGTGTTAATTGTGACCTGTGAGCTCTGTGTGAAGGCTTGGTATAATTATCGGAGTAATTGTAGTGTATTTTGTAAAGTGCCAGATCATTTAATTCAGGATTAGAGCTTCTCACCTCCAACGGTTGGGTGTGTGTGTGTGTGTGTGTGTGTGTGTGTGTGTGTGTGTGTTGAAGATGTGATGATTCGTGGAGTGATAATGCCACTACGATCACCAGAACCTCTGAACATAAATAAGCAGCCATTGCAGCACTTAGCTGTAAATGTCAAACCTGGTGGGTTTGGGCACATATGTGCAGCATGAATGCATGTGCGTGTGCGTGGCCACCCTGCCCCCTGCTGGTTTGTCTGTTGAACCTCAGCACCATGTGAGAGAAATCAAAAAGGTACAAATCCCCATATGGTCTGTACCATCCTGTGCTCTCCGTTTTTTCCCCCTGCTCCCTCTGTGTGTGATGATGAGAGACATCAAACTGCAACCAATCTGCAGTCATTGCTCAACCTGCAGCAGCTCACTGCACTGCCGTGACCCCCTACAGGCCAAGAGCTGCCACAGCGTTCAGCTCTGCACAGACTGAGAAATACTGTAGTTTTCATTTCATTCATCTGCTGTAATAAAAGTAAATGGATGTCATTTACTCGAGAGAATCTAATAAGGAGTTGGCTGCATGAACTGAATACCAATAAGGGATTAAACTAATGGGAGCCGAAGTGCATGACACAGATCTTAAGTATTCGTAATACATTAGAACCCCCCGAAAAAGCATTAATTTCTTCGTTTTTGTAGATTTTCTTCTTTTCCCCATATTTGATTTGTCTGATTTAAAGGCACAGCATGAAATACATTTGTTTTGTCAAAAAAAAATGTAAAGAAAATTTCCATCTCTACATTTCAGGCTCTCAGGTTCCCTCCCGTCCTGCAATCTCTCGCTCCGTTTCTGTGACAGACGAGCGTACCCTGAAGAAGATGGGAGTGACGACTGTGGACATGACTGACACGCCAACCCTCACGGTGCCGCGCAGCCCCATTCGCCTCAACTCAACTCCTGAGTGACACTACAGACACGACTCACAACACAAAGCCCGAACTGGGCTTACGTGAGGGTTATTTTTCCTCAAGCATGAACGCACAAAACCGCAATATGATTCCAAATGGACCATATTTGACATTTTGAGGGAATGAAAAAAATGAGGTGATCAGTGCCACTCTGAGAAAAAAAACTACAAATAAAATGCTAAAACACAGCTCAGACATCAGAAATAAAACTAAAACCAGGTAAAAATGAGCAGAATGCCTTATTTCCTTAATCTAGTCCTGTAAAAACATTTTAAAAATAAGCAATCTATCTTGTATAAGTCATGGGGTACCTATAATTCATTAAGTAAAGTGTTTAGCTGCTGATTTTGCATGAACTGAATGCTAATTTTTACCTATTTTTGTTAGGACAGAATCAAACTAGCCAACGTTTATCTGTCTTTGTGTGAAGCTAATCTAACCTGCCGCAGGCTACAGCTTCCACTGTACAAATAAAGAAAAAAACGAGTGGTATCGATCTCTTCATTTACTTCACAGCAAGAGAGCACCAAAACGTTGATCCGCTCCTTTATTAACGTCACAAACGGTTTTACTATCTCCTGATCATTTTCCTTCACTAATTTTTACGAACAAACACATTTTCCCTTATATGTGACAAGAAAAAAATCTGTCCTCAGCAACCTCAGCTTTATTTCTGAGCATCGCCCACCTCCTCACCAAAGTTGAGCGTACTATGCCACTAACCGCGGTACACAACTGTTTCGAAGCCCCCCAACCCGCAGCCAACAGACAGATGCATAAGGAGTTTAATAGAGTTGATCTAATGAGAACACGAGGGAAGGGAGGAGGCTGTCGATGCAGAGGATCAGCTCCTCTCCCCATCGCAGCCAAAAGGTCAGAGCAGGTGCATTGACAGAAAGCAGCGAGGCGTGGTATTGGCTCCTTGATGGCTGAGCTGAGAGCTCTGAATGGGTCAAGCTAAGGCTAAACTTAAATTATGTGTCAATAATGCAACTATTTATAATACTATTAGCTTTATTTTTTTATTAGAACGGGTTCTCAGGGGTCATTTATGGCAGTGATGAAAAGACACTTTTGTTAGCATGCCTTATTTGTTATCAGTCTGATGTTTTTTAATATGATGAAAATGTACAAACACAGAGATCTGTATAATCTTTTATGGTGGATTTGTATCAATACATTTTCCCAAAGAAATTAAAGTTGTGTTGTGATTCTTGCACGGAGAAGCGAAAAAAAAGGTATCACTGCAGACGTTATCAGCCACATTTGATCTGTATTGACCTGTAAAGATGAACCAGCTGCTGGCATCAGAGCTCTCACATAATCTACTCAACAATTTCACACTTGTGTGCCATGTGGAACGTGCAGCAGCAGGAGCAGAGGACATGATTATTTGCAGCAGACAACAAGAGGACTGGAAATGATTATCAGATGCCTGTGTGTGTTTATCAATGCGACATCAATTTAATGTTCAAAACTTCAAGACAAAAGTCCTGGCTTGTCACAGAAAGACCAGAAAGTTCCTGATTGACAGACATGGCAGCTTGTTTTGAATGCTAAATCGCTCACATTATGGGGCTCATTATGGCTTCTTTTATCCATACAAATCAAGAGCCAGCATGACAGTTTGTTATAGACATCCAAACAAAAGAACCGCAGACATGATAATACACACACACACACACACACACACACACACAAACAAACAAATGCATTCACACAAAAGTCTTCAGCGTCTCCTTTTACAGTAGCAGCAGGAGGCTGATATAAAAGAGCGAGTGCTCACCACAGCCAGGAGTGTTCACAAGTGGTGCAGAGGGAGCACAACCTGCAGGCTGCACTGTTTTAACATTACCTCCTCCTCTCTTACTACTTTGTCTCTCCCATTAAATTTTCTCTCTCATTATTGCCACCTCCACCACTCTGCTGTCTCTCCTTCTTCCTCTTCTGTTCCTGCGCTCTCATTCTTGAAATCTTCCTTGATCTCCTTCTTTTGTTTCTTTCCTCTTTATCTGTGTGTCATCATCTGCGTTCCTGGAGAGGGCTTCCAAATAAGATATACCGTCTTCATTATATAGAAATGTTCCCCCTGGTCCATTATCATACATCCTGACCCTGTGGAGCTGCTTATTCCCACTTTTCTGCCCAGTCAGACCCCACAGATGGCTCTGCGGAGGACAGATGGAATGTTCTCATGAGCTGCGCTTTACTGTTCACTTGCTTTAAGGTGGAACCACACAGGGGCAGATAAAAACTCAGATTTAAAAATTATTTTGAAGAAGATATTTGTGGAAAGGTTATGACCAGTGGTGGGCATGATTCAGCTAATCAGCTAACAGCAGAAAGGTTTTAATTTAGAGAATTAGCTTTTTCATTAACTTTCAAAAATTGTTAATGGACCTATTAGCTTCATTATCAACAGGTTTGAGTCAGACTCACCAATATTCAGCTGGAAGGAGACGTGTGACAAAGAATGAGTGACAGTTGTTGTGGCAGTTAGCGATTAGCTGTTAATGTTAGCCTGTTTTTTACATGATTAGCAGTTATGTGAAGATTATATATATTTATTCATGATTATAATGATGGTAGGCAAGGATGGATGAAGAGCCCATATGACCCAAAAAGACAAATCTTCACATCCCTCAGATGAAGGACACAAAGGTTAGAAACACTCAATGTTCTGAGCTTCTCTGGGTCCATAAAGGGGTCCGCCAGAATTATTTTCCTTTGACTGCTCAGAGCCAGGCAGTGAGCTAAGTTGTGCAAAGAGGTCTCTAATGCCACAAGGATCACACAGACCATTGTCATGGAATCCCATCACCATTTTGTGGTTGTTGGGCAGGTTGTGCTCAGTGTCCATCCCAACCAGGGTACTTCAAGTATTTCTTGTCAGGGCAATGAGAGCTTTCCCAAACCTAAGATTTGGGCTGTTTATCAGTTCCTGTGCCTGTCTGCAGTCCATCAGCTCCATCCAACAGTTGACAAGCTAGCTAAAGTTGGTATCTCACTGAATGAACCTCTATGGCAATGTTCACACTGCAGGCCTTTATGCTCAATTCCTTTATTTATTTATTATTATTATTATTATTATTATTATTATTATTATTATTATTATGCTTGGATGTGTATCTGATTTAGTACATAAAAAAGACTTGGGTTGGGTTTGGAAACACCAATTTTGTGATATTCACACTGACATAAACAAATCCGAAACTGGTCACATGAGAAAAAAAAAAAAGAAAAGAAAAGAAAAGAAAAGAAAGATTTTGGTCACTTTTACCTGCAGTGTAAAAGTAGCCTGTGAAACTTTTGAAACTGAAAAGGAAAAAAAATTGTATAGGTCCTCTGGACGGGTTCTTCTTTAATGAAATGTTTCGTCTCTCTTCCAAGAGACTTCTTCAGTCTGAGAGTTTCAGGCAGAATTCAGGCTTTTGAGTCCTGCCTCCAGGTGGCTGATACTCACATCACATGGCTATCGTTCACAGGTGACTGATACTCACATCACCTGGCTATCGTTCACAGGTGACTGATACTCACATCACATGGCTATCGTTCACAGGTGACTGATACTCACATCACATGGCTATNATAGAATAGAATAGAATAGAATAGAATAGAATAGAATAGAATAGATCTTTATTGTCATTGTAACAAGTACAACAAAATTAGGTGTTCCCTTCTGGTGTTTGAATAAAAAGTATAAAGAGTAAAAAAAACAATATTTACGATATCAAAATGTAAAGAAGAAACATAAAATCATAAAAAATAAAGAGAGATAGAATGTAAATGAAACAAAGGCATCACTGTACGGCTCTTTCACATTTGACAAAGTTATTGCACATAGATGTTGTACATATTGCACATTGGTTGTTACACATCTGTTTTGTGAATGTATTGCACAGAAATATTGTGCGTGCTGCACACTGGATATTACACATCAGTTGTTTGTGAATGCATTGTTTCCTGTACATGTTTGCACTGCAGTGTTATGTTGCATTCAGTGCCCTGATGGCTGTGGGGTAAAAGCTATCTTTGAACCTGTTGGTCTTTGTTTTAATGTACCTCCTGCCTGATGGCAGTGATTGGAACATGGTGTGACCTGGGTGTGTGGGGTCATTCAGGATGTTTGTGGCTTTCCTGAGACAGCGAGAGCGGTACAGTTCCTCAAGAGAAGGTAGTGGGCATCCAATGATCTTCTGGGCTGTGATGGTGGTCCTCTGAAGTGTTTTCCTTTGTACTGCTGTGCTGCTGGAGAACCACATGCAGAGGCAGTAGCACAAGGCACTCTCGATGCAGCAGTGGTAGAATGACACCAGCAGTTTCTGACAGATGTTATTTTTCCTGAGAACTCTCAGAAAGTGGAGTTTTTGTTACGCATTTTTCACCAGTACTGTTGTGCTGACATCCCAGGTCAGGTCTTCTGCGATGTGGACTTTCCTGAAGTCACCCACGCGCTATTTGGTCTTTGCTGTGTTCAGGGTCAGGTTGTTATCTGTGCACCACTCTTCAACTTCATCCCTGTAGGCTGTCTCGTCCCAACCGAAGATGAGCCCCGCCACAGTGGTGTCATCTGCAAACTTGATGACTGAGTTGCTGTGGTAGATGGGAGTGCAGTCGTGTGTGTACAGTGTGAAGAGCAGGGGGCTCAGCACACAACCCTGTGGTGAACCAGTGCCAGTGGTAACAGCTGAGGAGGTGTGCAGCCCCACACTGACCCTTTGTGTGCGGTCTGTCAGGAAGTTTTTAATCCAGTGACAAGTGGCGTCTGGGACCCCCAGAGCTGAGAGTTTGCCCACCAGCCTGTGGGGCAGGATGGTGTTAAAGCCGGAGCTGAAGTTGATGAAGAGGAGACGTGCGTAGCTCCCCTGGTGCTCTAGATGTGCCAGAGCAGCATGCAGAGCTACAGCAAAGGCATCCTCAATTGACCTGTTGTTTCTGTACAGGCAAACTGATGTGGGCCAATTTCACAAGGGATGGATGCCATCTGCCTCTGGACTAGTCCCTCTAGACAATTCATGACTACAGGGATCAGTGCCACTGGTCTGTAGTCATTCAGGGAGGTGATGGGTGATTTCTTTTGGTATGGGTACTATGATGGAGGACTTCAGGCAGGATGGGACTGTGGCCTGAGACAGAGACAAGTTGAAGATCTTAGTAAGCACCCCAGCCAGCTGTACTACGCAGGTCTTCATGACATGACCAGAGACTCCGTCGGGTCCACTGCCCCGTTCAAAACAATCATTCACACTCTCAGTCAAACCTAGGAACAATATGGAGTTAACATGCAGGTTATATATGATATAAAACACATGTACAATAGGTTGCCTTCAGGCCCAGGCCTCCCTTGAAAAAGAGACCTGAGATCTCAATGGGACTTGCCTGGTTAAATAATGGTAAATAAATATAGAGAAATATAAAGAAAACCCACACATGCACAGAGAGAAGATGAAAGTTCCACACAAAAGGTAATCCTGCAACCTTCTTGAGAGGCGCCAGCTCTAACCACTGTTCTGTCATGCTGCCTGTTTAATATCAACCCTGTAACAGTTCAAAACTGCTAGACAGAGTTTTAATAGCTACATGTATTGTTTTCAGTTTCTGCAATGTGGACCAAAGAACAGGGCTCTTCATCCATTCTCAGAGTTTGGGCAGCTGTGGGGCAGTGGTAGGGAGGTAATTCCACACTATGCCTATGCCACAGGGCAAAACACCTATTTTCTAAAAGCTTGTTTGTATGGATGGACCTTTTCATGCAAAAGTACTACATTATAATCCAGTTGATCTCAAACTGTGAAGCGTGACCCCTAAGGGGCACAAGGTCACTTTCTGCTGGTTTCATTAAAGACAAGAAGAGAGGGAGATATTTCCTCAAATTCAAGGAGGAAAATTTTGCTGTCTGGAGAAGGTGTCACTTTAAATTAGGAATGAGCTGTCAGAGTGATAACAGCTGAGGTGGGAAAACGCTGCTCTCATCTCTGGATCGGAGCAGGGTGTCCAGTGTTATAAACTGGCTATTGTTCAAAATCAGTTTATACTTGATGATCAAACATTTTTAAAAAGGTATCTTCAATTCAAAGAAATTAAAGATACATTTACTAGTAGAAGTAAGCCATTTTCGTTTAGAAGAAAAAGTGATTATCATAAAACAAAAAAAGTTTCCTGAAACAGCAATCAGGAAAAAAAATACATTGAGCTACTA